GTGTGTTGTCTCTTCGTCATCGTCGTCGCCGTCGTCGTCGTCATCGTCGTCGTCGTCGTCAAGCGTGCGAATCGGTTAATGGTTCGGTCGTTTCGCGATACGTTACTGGCCCCCGGCGGTCTGGCACGGAGGAGCGAGAGAAAGCCTCGTCGGGTGTGCGTGAGGGCAGTGATCTCTCTCGGAGAGCGGCGACCTGGCGACGATACGAGCGGAACCGACGGTGCCCGATAGAATATATATATGTATGTACGTACGTATGTGCATATATATATGGAATATATCGTCGTATCGAGAGAAAAAGAGAGAGAGAGACATTACTCTCTTCCCTTGGCCCTTGCAACTGCCACCGGATTTGCCCTGCGGATTAAAGCAACTTGTCCTCATCGTCGAGACGGACTCTCCAAGGATCATGGACGCGAGCGAGGTAAAGGAAAATGCAATCTGCGAAACTTAGCCGACCGCTCGAAAGAGTGGAGGTTTGTAAAATTATCAAGCAACCGAAATTGTAGATGAGCCGTATTTCGATTTTGCCTAGAGATCTCGTCGTGTCCGTACGTTAAGTTGCTGATTTCGTCAGTCGAAACATGCAAAGTGCGATCTGCGAAACAGGAAAGCGAGCAAAAAAATTCCTAGTACTAGTCTTAAATCAAGATAGATATTTTCATATATAAGCGAAAAATGTTATAATCTTAAAAATCTTGATCTGATTGAATTTGTATTGTATACATAGATATTTTTATAGATACAAGCAAGAATATTATAATCTTCATATAAAAGTTTTTTAATCTTGAGTTGAACAAAAATAATATACTTAATCAATACAAATCAAATCAAAATTAAAATTTTTAAGATTGTAATATTTTTACTTATATATGAAAATATTTATCTCGATTTAGAACTAATTTTTTTCCATGTGAGTATTTTTGATTATGAGCGCGATTCGTAATTCTGAAGATAAGACAAGAATATTGGTGACAATTAATGACTCAACTATGATTTGTAATTAAATAGTATCATAGAATTTGTCGTCCGGGTTTTATCTGAGGTTCAAAAAATTGAAGGAAGGCAAGGTTTTGCATTTTGCCAAAAAAAAGACTAACCGGATCATAAACGATTGTGATGTTATCCGCACATCTGCTTGTTGCAATTTCACTTTAGCTCTGAAGCCCAGCTAGTTAGAATGGTGACAAACGACTAACAGCAACTCGCAATCGTCAACGTTTAATTATTAGTTCCTGAATTAATCTAATCCGCGTTCCGCCGTAGTTTTGCATTCCACGAATGTATGAGCAGGCTCGAATGTCACGTCGGGAGGGAAATATTGGTCACTCCGTTCTCCAGTTTCCATGGTAAACAACCCGCGCACAGGTTTATATGGATACCCCACCATCGCACTAATCACGATGTATTAACAAATAATATTCCCTGCAAAATTTTAACGGGGTTTAGCATGCGACGTTTCAATTTTATTTAACCGCTAATGCATCCCTCATTGAATCTCTCTTCTTTATTATCGTCGCCGAGTCGTCAAATCACCGCCTGTCTTTCGAGTGCCATCGCGTTTCCCAGCTCGTCATTTGGGCGGAGCCTGCGAACGCGGTCGCAGGAAACTTTTCCGGAAACTTTTAACGGCAAAAGGAGCTCCCCTTCACAAGTCGAAGCCGCCGATGCGTGGGGCACCGAACGCAACCCCCCCGTCCGGTCGCCAACTCGGTTTCTCTCACCCTCGTTCAACTCATGCTCCCGTATCGTAGTGCGGTCGCGGATGATCAGTAAGAAAGAGCGCAGACATATCTGGAACCCCAGTGGTACGCCGGTCCTTTCCCTCCGATAGGTTTTTCATTGCCGGGTACACACGCACCGGGCACGACCATTGGTCGGGACCCAAATGAGAATTTTTCCGACGTGGCCGTTTGGCCCTGCCCCCTCTGAGCGGTTTCCTTTCCAAATGGCGGCACCGATGCACCAACGTCGCCGAACGCGATGCGACAAACATTTTCGTTTGAACCCCCTCGGTTCACCGTCCTTTCTTTCCCACCCTTCCCGCCACGCGCGATAACCACCCGAGTTACAGCTGTGCCCCCGAAAGAAAATGGCAAGTAACTTTTGCACGTGTGTATGCGCATAAAATTAATTTACTTATTTGGAGAGGTAGAATATACAAAACTTATTTTTATTTAACATTAGAAAGTATACACAATTACATTTAATATCGTACATGTTTATTTAATTGGATTTGTTTTATTTTAATACGTGTAGATACACATATACACACAGATACATATCTTTTTTTCGCGCTTGACTAACAGAGCCCACTTATATGTATTTTGTATTTGTATTTTTATTTGTATTTTTATTAACTATACAAAAATATACTTAGAACTATTTATATAAATATTTATAAAAGTGTAAACGCTTAAAAATATAAATAATTTATGAAAAGATGTAAATAATTGTAAAATAACAATTGTATATTAAACTAAATGGAAAATTTTAGACATATTTTAAAGATTAAAGATTTTTATCGATGCTTTAAAAATTAGTGAGAAATAGAACCAGTTTTTGCAGTAAGAATGCATATAATATTTACCAAGTAACCATAAAAATTCGATGTTCTTTTAACAATAGATTTTGGCCAGTACTTATTGTTTATCGAGAGAAGAAATGTTGTCGTCATATTTTTTTCGGAATTTTTAACGTCATATATAAACTTTAAATTAAAATGATGTCAAAGTAAAATCTCCATCTAAAATCAGCTGAACAAATATTCTAGAGATCTGGCTCTAGATGTTTAGTTTGCTTCTTAGCTCTTCCATTGCGCTCGTAACTGTCGAAAACTGTCTCATTTTTCAAAGCGAGCGATTATGCCTCTCGAACGATTCCCGAACTCTCATGGTCCCAACTAGTCCCAATAACATTACATGCTCCAGATGATGAATTACGATCCCTTCGGGTCGCCCGAAGAGAGAGTGACGACTCTCGCCACTTCATCAACGTGTTCTTTACGCGAGCCCCGTGTGTACCGCACGCTCGAGCGATCGATTACAATCTTTTCATATCGAGAATGACGTCCCTCATTACCTCACCTCGTCTCACCTCACCTCACCTCACCTCACCGGCGCGGTGCGGTCGGAATCCAAGGCGTGAAAGCCGACACGAAAGCCATTCTCCGTCTATGGGCTGTCTAGCCGAGGACACGAGACAGACAGGGACGCTGGTACCCTGTCCCCGCGTGCCGCGATGCGATCCTCCGCATGAGCGTTGCGTGTACGCACGTGCGCGCGCGCGAGTAGATGTGCGTGCGGATCTGCGTAGGTGTGCGTGTGACGATGGGCCGATGGCTTGTGCAGGTATGCGCGATTCTTCTGCCCGTACGCACGTTGCATACAAACCATCCGTCCGTCCGTCCGTCCGTCCATCCGTCCGTCTTCCGTGCTTAAAGCGCGTGCCTCCGCGGAACGAGACCGGCTTTAGACGCGTT